AACCCTTTCATCCATACAAACTCAGTGATAGGCAGGTGAACTACTTAACCGTTTCATCCATACAAACTCAGTGATAGGCAGGTGAACTACTTAACCTTTCATCCATACAAACTCAGTGATAGGCAGGTGAACTATTTAACCCTTTCATCCATACAAACTCAGTGATAGGCAGGTGAACTACTTAACCTTCCATCCATACAAACTCAGTGATAGGCAGGTGAACTACTTAACCTTTCATCCATACAAGCTCAGTGATAGGCAGGTGAACTACTTAACCTTTCATCCATACAAACTCAGTGATAGGCAGGTGAACTACTTAACCCTTTCATCCATACAAACTCAGTGATAGGCAGGTGAACTACTTAACCGTTTCATCCATACAAACTCAGTGATAGGCAGGTGAACTACTTAACCTTTCATCCATACAAACTCAGTGATAGGCAGGTGAACTACTTAACCCTTTCATCCATACAAACTCAGTGATAGGCAGGTGAACTACTTAACCCTTTCATCCATACAAACTCAGTGATAGGCAGGTGAACTACTTAACCGTTTCATCCATACAAACTCAGTGATAGGCAGGTGAACTACTTAACCTTTCATCCATACAAACTCAGTGATAGGCAGGTGAACTACTTAACCTTTCATCCATACAAACTCAGTCATAGGCAGGTGAACTACTTAACCTTTCATCCATACAAACTCAGTCATAGGCAGGTGAACTACTTAACCTTTCATCCATACAAACTCAGTGATAGGCAGGTGAACTACTGAACCTTTCATCCATACAAACTCAGAAGGAGGCAGGTGAACTACTTAACCCTTTCATCCATACAAACTCAGTGATAGGCAGGTGAACTACTTAACCTTTCATCCATACAAACTCAGTGATAGGCAGGTGAACTACTTAACCCTTTCATCCATACAAACTCAGTGATAGGCAGGTGAACTACTTAACCCTTTCATCCATCCAAACTCAGTGATAGGCAGGTGAACTACTTAACCTTTCATCCATACAAACTCATTGATAGGCAGGTGAACTACTTAACCTTTCATCCATACAAACTCAGCGATAGGCAGGTGAACTACTTAACCTTTCATCCATACAAACTCATTAAGAGGCAGGTGAACTACTTAACCTTTCATCCATACAAACTCAGTGATAGGCAGGTGAACTACTTAACCTTTCATCCATACAAACTCAGTGATAGGCAGGTGAACTACTTAACCTTTCATCCATACAAACTCAGAAGGAGGCAGGTGAACTACTTAACCTTTCATTGATACAAAATCAGTAAGAGGCAGGTGAACTACTTAACCTTTCATCCATACAAACTCAGTGATAGGCAGGTTAACTACTTAACCTTTCATCCATACAAACTCAGTGATAGGCAGGTGAACTACTCAACCTTCCATCCATACAAACTCAGTAGGAGGCAGGTGAACTACTTAACCTTCCATCCATACAAACTCAGTGATAGGCAGGTGAACTACTTAACCTTTCATCCATACAAACTCAGTAAGAGGCAGGTGAACTACTTAACCTTTCATCCATACAAACTCAGTAGGAGGCAGGTGAACTACTTAACCTTTCATCCATACAAACTCAGTGATAGGCAGGTGAACTACTTAACCTTTCATCCATACAAACTCAGTGATAGGCAGGTGAACTACTTAACCTTTCATCCATACAAACTCAGTAAGAGGCAGGTGAACTAATTAACCTTTCATCCATACAAACTCAGTGATAGGCAGGTGAACTACTTAACCTTTCATCCATACAAACTCAGTGATAGGCAGGTGAACTACTCAACCTTCCATCCATACAAACTCAGTGATAGGCAGGTGAACTACTTAACCTTCCATCCATACAAACTCAGTGATAGGCAGGTGAACTACTTAACCTTTCATCCATACAAACTCATTAAGAGGCAGGTGAACTACTTAACCTTCCATCCATACAAACTCAGTAGGAGGCAGGTGAACTACTTAACCTTCCATCCATACAAACTCAGTAAAAGGCAGGTGAACTACTTAACCTTTCATCCATACAAACTCAGTGATAGGCAGGTGAACTACTTAACCCTTTCATCCATACAAACTCAGTAGGAGGCAGGTGAACTACTTAACCTTTCATCCATACAAACTCAGTAAGAGGCAGGTGAACTACTTAACCTTTCATCCATACAAACTCAGTGATAGGCAGGTGAACTACTTAACCTTTCATCCATACAAACTCAGTGATAGGCAGGTGAACTACTTAACCTTTCATCCATACAAACTCAGTAGGAGGCAGGTGAACTACTTAACCTTTCATCCATACAAACTCATTAAGAGGCAGGTGAACTACTTAACCTTTCATCCATACAAACTCAGTGATAGGCAGGTGAACTACTTAACCTTTCATCCATACAAACTCAGTAAGAGGCAGGTGAACTACTTAACCTTTCATCCATACAAACTCAGTGATAGGCAGGTGAACTACTTAACCTTTCATCCATACAAACTCAGTGATAGGCAGGTGAACTACTTAACCTTTCATCCCTACAAACTCAGTAAGAGGCAGGTGAACTACTTAACCTTTCATCCATACAAACTCAGTGATAGGCAGGTGAACTACTTAACCTTTCATTGATACAAACTCAGTGATAGGCAGGTGAACTACTTAACCTTTCATCGATACAAACTCAGTGATAGGCAGGTGAACTACTTAACCTTTCATCCATACAAATTCAGTGATAGGCAGGTGAACTACTTAACCTTTCATCCATACAAACTCAGTGATAGGCAGGTGAACTACTTAACCTTTCATCCATACAAAATCAGTAAGAGGCAGGTGAACTACTTAACCTTTCATCCATACAAACTCAGTGATAGGCAGGTGAACTACTCAACCTTCCATCCATACAAACTCAGTGATAGGCAGGTGAACTACTTAACCTTCCATCCATACAAACTCAGTGATAGGCAGGTGAACTACTTAACCTTTCATCCATACAAACTCATTAAGAGGCAGGTGAACTACTTAACCTTCCATCCATACAAACTCAGTGATAGGCAGGTGAACTACTTAACCGTTTCATCCATACAAACTCAGTGATAGGCAGGTGAACTACTTAACCTTTCATCCATACAAACTCAGTGATAGGCAGGTGAACTATTTAACCCTTTCATCCATACAAACTCAGTGATAGGCAGGTGAACTACTTAACCTTCCATCCATACAAACTCAGTGATAGGCAGGTGAACTACTTAACCTTTCATCCATACAAGCTCAGTGATAGGCAGGTGAACTACTTAACCTTTCATCCATACAAACTCAGTGATAGGCAGGTGAACTACTTAACCCTTTCATCCATACAAACTCAGTGATAGGCAGGTGAACTACTTAACCGTTTCATCCATACAAACTCAGTGATAGGCAGGTGAACTACTTAACCTTTCATCCATACAAACTCAGTGATAGGCAGGTGAACTACTTAACCCTTTCATCCATACAAACTCAGTGATAGGCAGGTGAACTACTTAACCCTTTCATCCATACAAACTCAGTGATAGGCAGGTGAACTACTTAACCTTTCATCCATACAAACTCAGTGATAGGCAGGTGAACTATTTAACCCTTTCATCCATACAAACTCAGTGATAGGCAGGTGAACTACTTAACCTTCCATCCATACAAACTCAGTGATAGGCAGGTGAACTACTTAACCCTTTCATCCATACAAACTCAGTGATAGGCAGGTGAACTACTTAACCGTTTCATCCATACAAACTCAGTGATAGGCAGGTGAACTACTTAACCTTTCATCCATACAAACTCAGTGATAGGCAGGTGAACTACTTAACCTTTCATCCATACAAACTCAGTGATAGGCAGGTGAACTACTTAACCTTTCATCCATACAAACTCAGTCATAGGCAGGTGAACTACTTAACCTTTCATCCATACAAACTCAGTGATAGGCAGGTGAACTACTGAACCTTTCATCCATACAAACTCAGAAGGAGGCAGGTGAACTACTTAACCCTTTCATCCATACAAACTCAGTGATAGGCAGGTGAACTACTTAACCTTTCATCCATGCAAACTCGGTGATAGGCAGGTGAACTACTTAACCCTTTCATCCATACAAACTCATTGATAGGCAGGTGAACTACTTAACCCTTTCATCCATACAAACTCAGTGATAGGCAGGTGGACTACTTAACCTTTCATCCATACAAACTCATTAAGAGGCAGGTGAACTACTTAACCTTTCATCCATACAAACTCAGCGATAGGCAGGTGAACTACTTAACCTTTCATCCATACAAACTCAGTAAGAGGCAGGTGAACTACTTAACCCTTTCATCCATACAAACTCAGTGATAGGCAGGTGAACTACTTAACCGTTTCATCCATACAAAGTCATTAAGAGGCAGGTGAACTACTTAACCTTTCATCCATACAAACTCAGTGATAGGCAGGTGAACTACTTAACCTTTCATCCATACAAACTCAGAAGGAGGCAGGTGAACTACTTAACCCTTTCATCCATACAAACTCATTGATAGGCAGGTGAACTACTTAACCTTTCATCCATACAAACTCAGTGATAGGCAGGTGAACTACTTAACCTCTCATCCATACAAACTCATTAAGAGGCAGGTGAACTACTTAACCTTTCATCCATACAAACTCAGTGATAGGCAGGTGAACTAGTTAACCTTTCATCCATACAAACTCAGTAAGAGGCAGGTGAACTACTTAACCCTTTCATCCATACAAACTCATTAAGAGGCAGGTGAACTACTTAACCTTTCATCCATACAAACTCAGTGATAGGCAGGTGAACTACTTAACCTTTCATCCATACAAACTAAGTAAGAGGTAGGTGAACTCTGTGCCCTCCTCCCACATCATGCTGACACACCATGATATAACTTGAATAAAGCGGCATTAAATCATTCACTGTCATGACACAGGTGTATTGGATGTCATTGTTTTTTTGTTTTAGTATCTCTGCCCAGAGCAGCTTTGCAATTGGTGCTATTTTGAATGCGACATTTGGCTCCATGGTAGAGCTCATCCTGTTTGTGATAGTTCTGAAGAAAGGCAAAGACACAAATAAAGAGTGCTTCCAAGAGCTTGTCAAGTCCTCCCTGGCTGGTTAGTACAACCATACCTCATTCTTTTATTGTGGTGCCCCTTTTAAACAGAAAAATGTACAGGCTTTGGATGCTTTACTGAAATTTGATAAGCTTGTGTGATTACAGAACTCAAATATTATATCCCTTGTGAGCAAAGTCATTACTTTTTGCTAGAAAAGAAATCTTACCATTGCTTTTCTGGAATTATAAGGTATAATATATATTTTTTCAGGTACCATCCTGGCAAGCATTCTCTTTATTCCTGGAGTGTGCATGATAGTAGGCGGAATCAAATATCAGATGCAGAGATTCAACCCTCAGTCAGCAGGTGTCAGTGCTGCCTTGCTCTTTGTATCTATTGCTGGTAGGTTGTACACCACAGCGTCAGTGCTGCCTTACTCTCTGTATGTATTTCTGGTAGGTTGTACACTACAGTGCAGTGCTGCCTTACTCTCTGTATGTAATGCTGGTAGGTTGTACACAACGACAGTGCTGCCTTACTCTCTGTATGTATTGCTGGTAGGTTGAACATAATGTCAGTGCTGCCTTACTCTCTCTATGTATTGCTGGTAGGTTGTACACCACAGCGTCAGTGCTGCCTTACTCTCTTTATGTATTGCTGGTAGGTTGTACACAACGACAGTGCTGCCTTACTCTCTGTATGTATTGCTGGTAGCTTGTACACCACAGCGTCAGTGCTGCCTTACTCTCTGTTCTGTATTGCTGGTAGGTTGTACATGATGGCAGTGCTGCCTTACTCTCAGTATGTATTGCTGGTAGGTTGTACACTACAGTGCAGTGCTGCCTTACTCTCTATATGTATTACTGGTAGGTTGTACATAACGTCAGTGCTGCCTTACTCTCAGTATGTATTGCTGGTAGGTAGTACATAATGGCAGTGCTGCCTTACTCTCTGTATGTATTGCTGGTAGGTTGTACACTACAGTGCAGTGCTGCCTTAATCTCTGTATGTATTGCTGGTAGGTTGTACACCACAGCATCAGTGCTGCCTTACTCTCAGTATGTATTGCTGGTAGGTTGTACACTACAGTGCAGTGCTGCCTTACTCTCTGTATGTATTGCTGGTAGGTTGTACACTACAGTGCAGCGCTGCCTTACTCTCTTTATGTATTGCTGGTAGGTTGTACAGTACAGCGTCAGTGCTGCCTTACTCTCAGTATGTATTGCTGGTAGGTTGTACACTACAGTGCAGTGCTGCCTTACTCTCTATATGTATTGCTGGTAGGTTGAACATAACGTCAGTGCTGCCTTACTCTCTGTATGTATTGCTGGTAGGTTGTACAGTACAGCGTCAGTGCTGCCTTACTCTCTGTATGTATTGCTGATAGGTTGTACATAGTGGCAGTGCTGCCTTACTCTCTGTATGTATTGCTGGTAGGTTGTACACCACAGCGTCAGTGCTGCCTTACTCTCTATATGTATTGCTGGTAGGTTGAACATAACGTCAGTGCTGCCTTACTCTCTGTATTTATTGCTGGTAGGTTGTACACCACAGCGTCAGTGCTGCCTTACTCTCTGTATGTGATGCTGGTAGGTTGTACACCACAGCATCAGTGTTGCCTTACTCTCTGTATGTTTTGCTGGTAGGTTGAACATAACGTCAGTGCTGCCTTACTCTCTGTATGTATTGCTGGTAGGTTGAACATAACGTCAGTGCTGCCTTACTCTCTATATGTATTGCTGGTAGGTTGTACACCACAGCGTCAGTGCTGCCTTACTCTCAGTATGTATTGCTGGTAGGTTGTACATAATGGCAGTGCTGCCTTACTCTCTATATGTATTGCTGGTAGGTTGTACACCACAGCGTCAGTGCTGCCTTACTCTCAGTATGTATTGCTGGTAGGTTGTACACCACAGCGTCAGTGCTGCCTTACTCTCTATATGTATTGCTGGTAGGTTGAACATAACGTCAGTGCTGCCTTACTCTCTGTATGTATTGCTGGTAGGTTGTACATAATGGCAGTACTGCCTTACTCTCTATATGTATTGCTGGTAGGTTGTACAGTACAGCATCAGTGCTGCCTTACTCTCAGTATGTATTGCTGGTAGGTTGTACATAATGGCAGTGCTGCCTTACTCTCTATATGTATTGCTGGTAGGTTGTACAGTACAGCGTCAGTGCTGCCTTACTCTCTGTATGTATTGCTGGTAGGTTGTACAGTACAGCGTCAGTGCTGCCTTACTCTCTGTATGTATTGCTGGTAGGTTGTACACCACAGCGTCAGTGCTGCCTTAATCTCTGTATGTATTGCTGGTAGGTTGTACATAATGGCAGTGCTGCCTTACTCTCTGTATGTATTGCTGGAAGGTTGTACATAATGGCAATGCTGCCTTACTCTCTGTATGTATTGCTGGTAGGTTGTACACCACAGCGTCAGTGCTGCCTTACTCTCTATATGTATTGCTGGTAGGTTGAACATAACGTCAGTGCTGCCTTAATCTCTGTATGTATTGCTGGTAGGTTGTACAGTACAGCGTCAGTGCTGCCTTACTCTCTGTATGTATTGCTGGTAGGTTGTACACCACAGCATCAGTGCTGCCTTACTCTCTATATGTATTGCTGGTAGGTTGAACATAACGTCACTGCTGCCTTACTCTCTGTATGTATTGCTGGTAGGTTGTACAGTACAGCGTCAGTGCTGCCTTAATATCCGTATGTATTGCTGGTAGGTTGTACATAATGGCAGTGCTGCCTTAATCTCTGTATGTATTGCTGGTAGGTTGTACACCACAGCATCAGTGTTTCCTTACTCTCTGTATGTATTGCTGGTAGGTTGTACACCACAGCGTCAGTGCTGCCTTAATCTCTGTATGTATTGCTGGTAGGTTGTACATAATGGCAGTGCTGCCTTACTCTCTGTATGTATTGCTGGAAGGTTGTACATAATGGCAGTGCTGCCTTACTCTCTGTATGTATTGCTGGTAGGTTGTACACCACAGCGTCAGTGCTGCGTTACTCTCTATATGTATTGCTGGTAGGTTGAACATAACGTCAGTGCTGCCTTACTCTCAGTATGTATTGCTGGTAGGTTGTACACTACAGTGCAGTGCTGCCTTACTCTCTATATGTATTGCTGGTAGGTTGAACATAACGTCAGTGCTGCCTTACTCTCTGTATGTATTGCTGGTAGGTTGTACAGTACAGCGTCAGTGCTGCCTTACTCTCTGTATGTATTGCTGATAGGTTGTACATAGTGGCAGTGCTGCCTTACTCTCTATATGTATTGCTGGTAGGTTGAACATAACGTCAGTGCTGCCTTACTCTCTGTATTTATTGCTGGTAGGTTGTACACCACAGCGTCAGTGCTGCCTTACTCTCTGTATGTGATGCTGGTAGGTTGTACACCACAGCATCAGTGTTGCCTTACTCTCTGTATGTATTGCTGGTAGGTTGTACAGTACAGCATCAGTGCTGCCTTACTCTCTGTATGTATTGCTGGTAGGTTGTACACCACAGCGTCAGTGCTGCCTTACTCTCAGTATGTATTGCTGGTAGGTTGTACATAATGGCAGTGCTGCCTTACTCTCTATATGTATTGCTGGTAGGTTGTACACCACAGCGTCAGTGCTGCCTTACTCTCTATATGTATTGCTGGTAGGTTGTACACCACAGCGTCAGTGCTGCCTTACTCTCTATATGTATTGCTGGTAGGTTGTACACCACAGCGTCAGTGCTGCCTTACTCTCAGTATGTATTGCTGGTAGGTTGTACACCACAGCGTCAGTGCTGCCTTACTCTCTATATGTATTGCTGGTAGGTTGAACATAACGTCAGTGCTGCCTTACTCTCTGTATGTATTGCTGGTAGGTTGTACATAATGGCAGTACTGCCTTACTCTCTATATGTATTGCTGGTAGGTTGTACAGTACAGCATCAGTGCTGCCTTACTCTCAGTATGTATTGCTGGTAGGTTGTACATAATGGCAGTGCTGCCTTACTCTCTATATGTATTGCTGGTAGGTTGTACAGTACAGCGTCAGTGCTGCCTTACTCTCTGTATGTATTGCTGGTAGGTTGTACAGTACAGCGTCAGTGCTGCCTTACTCTCTGTATGTATTGCTGGTAGGTTGTACACCACAGCGTCAGTGCTGCCTTAATCTCTGTATGTATTGCTGGTAGGTTGTACATAATGGCAGTGCTGCCTTACTCTCTGTATGTATTGCTGGAAGGTTGTACATAATGGCAGTGCTGCCTTACTCTCTGTATGTATTGCTGGTAGGTTGTACACCACAGCGTCAGTGCTGCCTTACTCTCTATATGTATTGCTGGTAGGTTGAACATAACGTCAGTGCTGCCTTAATCTCTGTATGTATTGCTGGTAGGTTGTACAGTACAGCGTCAGTGCTGCCTTACTCTCTGTATGTATTGCTGGTAGGTTGTACACCACAGCATCAGTGCTGCCTTACTCTCTATATGTATTGCTGGTAGGTTGAACATAACGTCAGTGCTGCCTTAATCTCTGTATGTATTGCTGGTAGGTTGTACAGTACAGCGTCAGTGCTGCCTTAATATCCGTATGTATTGCTGGTAGGTTGTACATAATGGCAGTGCTGCCTTAATCTCTGTATGTATTGCTGGTAGGTTGTACACCACAGCATCAGTGTTTCCTTACTCTCTGTATGTATTGCTGGTAGGTTGTACACCACAGCGTCAGTGCTGCCTTAATCTCTGTATGTATTGCTGGTAGGTTGTACATAATGGCAGTGCTGCCTTACTCTCTGTATGTATTGCTGGAAGGTTGTACATAATGGCAGTGCTGCCTTACTCTCTGTATGTATTGCTGGTAGGTTGTACACCACAGCGTCAGTGCTGCGTTACTCTCTATATGTATTGCTGGTAGGTTGAACATAACGTCAGTGCTGCCTTACTCTCAGTATGTATTGCTGGTAGGTTGAACATAACGTCAGTGCTGCCTTACTCTCTGTATGTATTGCTGGTAGGTTGTACAGTACAGCGTCAGTGCTGCCTTACTCTCTGTATGTATTGCTGATAGGTTGTACATAGTGGCAGTGCTGCCTTACTCTCTCTATGTATTGCTGGTAGGTTGTACACCACAGCGTCAGTGCTGCCTTACTCTCTATATGTATTGCTGGTAGGTTGAACATAACGTCAGTGCTGCCTTACTCTCTGTATTTATTGCTGGTAGGTTGTACACCACAGCGTCAGTGCTGCCTACTCTCTGTATGTGATGCTGGTAGGTTGTACACCACAGCATCAGTGTTGCCTTACTCTCTGTATGTATTGCTGGTAGGTTGTACAGTACAGCGTCAGTGCTGCCTTACTCTCTGTATGTATTGCTGGTAGGTTGTACACCACAGCGTCAGTGCTGCCTTACTCTCAGT